TTACGTTAACATATTCAATTAATTCAATAGATTCATTTGAATTAATACAAAATATTTATAATGAAATTAATAGGATAAAAATAACAAGATGAATGAACATACTCCACGTATTATTGTTGGAGCTAAAGTGGGTTGAGAGAAAAAGAAGAATGAATGAACTACTCAGATAGTGTTCAATGTCATTTTAATTAAAAGAGTGCTAAAAGACACGAAAGCAATGATGAAATAAATAAAATAACCACAAAAGATGTTATTAGATACAAAAATACCAAACAAGTAGAACCATCTAATAAACAAATAGTCAAATGGTGTTTTATTGTTTAATTATTATAAATAAATTGGTAATAAAGATAATCATAAATAAAGAATGCTTTGAATGAATATACTAAATGAAATATAAAAATTTAGAATAGAATTTAAATAAATTATCATATATTTACTCTTTATATCATTTTAAATAATCACTTCATTGAATAATAAATAGATCATAGTTTTTTTTAAAGTTTAATATTTTGTGGTATTTCATTATTCTTTTATATAAATATTCTTGTTTCAAATATTCATCTTTTATTGTTTTTATTTATTAACTCTATTTAAAATTTCATCTTGTCATAATTGATATTGTTATTATTTCTTCATCAATTAAACTCTTTGAATGTTTTTATAATTTATGGTGTAAATGTTATATCATAATAATGATAAGATAAACAGATTATGTTAATTAGTTAACAAAGAATTGATAAATGGAATAATGTATATGAAATACCGAATGATCATAATGATATTTAACCACGCTATTGTTTTTCATCTTTTCATTCAATATTTGTATCATCATTAAATAACAAATAGTCACAAAGTATCGAATCAAAGATTTATTTTTTACTCATCTTATTCATACAATGCAATATTATGATGAAACTAATAACAAAATAAGAAAGAAAAAATAAAGTAATGAACAAGAAAAGAGATGTATAAATAAGAATTTAATACATTGTGCAATCAGTAATAAAGACTATTTAATATGTATTGTGAAAGTATATAATTTAATATGTATAACTAGTATCTTATAATGATTTAATTGTCACTATTATTCATTTTATAATGAATGTATTGTTTATCAAAAGATGAGAGTAATATTTTGTATTGAATGTGTTATGCTTATAAAAAAAAACAAATTGAATATGAAAATGGATAGGAGTTAATATAAAATAAACAAGGATTTGTTTTAAATTAATAACAATTCATTACCTCAATTAATTAACATGCAATTCAATAAAACAATTAAAATCATTGAAATTGCATATATTGATAATAAACTATAATTATTTGTAATAACAAATTAAAAGATAGATATTCTAGTATACCTAAGTTAGAAACAACCATTACAACAGATATATAACGTATTGAATACACTGAAATAACCATTTCTCGTTATTCATAATTTCTACTTATTAA